CGGCTATACTGTGAAGATATTCTATGTATATATTATTTTTATTCAATAATATGTGAGAATTAGGTGTGTTATGGTTAAGTAATATATATATATATTTAATTAATCAAAAGGTTAACCTTAGGCCTTGGGGCTCTTGGGCTCTGTGATTTAAATTAAACCCGATTAGTTAATTAATTAACTAATTATTTTTAAAATTCAAATATCATATAATGTTTTTGTCTTATTGAGTTTGTCTAGTAAATTCGCATTGAACATTCATATTACTTAATACTTGTATAGCCGCATAGATAAACACACAAATTTCTCTAGAAATGAAAGCCCTAGTGCTAGGACTTTGATTTAGAAAATTGTATCAAACGCCATATATTTAATTTCAATATTCTATTTGTTGTTTCAAAGGTAATTGCTAATTAGAGTAATTAAAAAAGGCTAACATATTACTTAATTACATATACTAAATTAAAGAAGTAGGCCAAAAAAACAAAAGTAAAGAAGTTATTTTATATTTTTAATATTAAAAAAATTGAAAAAATATACAAAAAAACACCTCTCCCGACGAAATGTTGTCGGCAGAGGTCTATGCCGACAAATATTTGTCGGATTAGATTTCTCCTGACGAAAAATACCTTTGCCGACGAAATGTTGTCGGGACAGGTCATTTGAAAAAATATATATATAAAATTAGGATGTTTAGGTTAATTAATTTTGTTATATTTTATTTTTAGTAATTAAATAATATATTTGCCTCATTTAATTAGTTAACTTAGTAATTATATTTTAATAATTATATATTTAGTGAATAATTAGTATTACATTTTTTAATTAACTTCATGAATTGTATTACTTAATAAATAGTAATTCAACTTTTCTTTTTTCTTTTTTCCTTTAATAATCACTAAGTAAAACATAAGTACTAATCAAAGAAATAAAAAAAGAGAGCTACTTAAAGGGTATAGCCGGGCGGCTGGACTTTTAAAATATTATATTTTCGGAGAATAGCCGCGCGGCTATACTATGAAGATATTCTATATATATATATATATATATATATATTTTTTATTCAATAATATGTGAGAATTAGGTGTGTTATGGTTAAGTAATATATATTTAATTAATCAAAAGGTTAACCTTAGGCCTTGGGGCTCTTGGGCTCTGTGATTTAAATTAAACCTGATTAGTTAATTAATTAACTAATTATTTTTAAAATTCAAATATCATATAATGTTTTTGTGTTATTGAGTTTGTCTAGTAAATTCGTATTGAACATTCATATCATCATTCTTGTATAGCCGCATAGATAAACACACAAATTTTGCTAGAAATGAAAGCCCTAGTGCTAGGACTTTGATTTAGAAAGTTTTCTTCTAGTGGAGCGAACGCAATATTTAATTTCATTTTTTTATTTGTTGTTTCAAATGTAATTTCTAATTAGAGTAATTTAAAAAGGTTAACATATTACTTAATTGCATATATTAAATTAAAGAAGTAGGCCAAAAAAAGAAAACTAACGAAACTAATTTTATATTTTTAAAATTAAATAAATTTAAATAAATTTAAAAAAAACTGTCCCGAAGAAATTTCCAGGATGAAACTTTTTTAAAAAAAATTATAGCCGATTGGCTATACTATTTATATATTATAAAAAAAGGATGCGCCACTGCTGAAAAAAGGGCTAAAAGTGACTTAGGGTAATCAGTCCCTTTACATTCTTTAGGGACTGAAAACAGTGGCTATTATAGTAATAAGCACCGACTTATAACAGTGTCTTTTATAGGGGTCGTCTATTGCTAATATGGCACGGATTGCAAATCTCTATGACTTATTTTCCCAATGGGTCCCACATTCTGTCCAACCAATATGCGTACATGCATTCTAAATACATCCGTGCCTAAGAGCATCCACAGTGGGGGGGTGTAAATTCGGGAGTGTAAAGCCACTTTTACATCCCCTTTACACCTCCGGGGGGTGTAAATATGTTTTTTGCTCCAGTGGGGGGTGTAAATTCGGGGGTGTAGCCGTGGGTCCCAGCCTTTTATGTTGACTTTTCTTCATTTTGCTTCTCTTTTCTCGGGTGAGTCCCGCCTGCAAGGGATGTAAAAATGGATGTAAATATACATTTTATTTTACATCCCCATGGTGGTGATTTATATTTACATCCATTTACATCTCACCATTGGAGACGATTCCGGTGACTCGGGGTGTATATTTAACATACACCCCCATATACACCCCCCACTGTGGATGCTCTAATAGAATTAAAAGGTACAGAATGCTTATCAGTCCCTAAAAACATAAACCTTTTTTATTTTATTTTATAAATATATGATTGTCCCATAGCCATTTTGTTGTTTTAATATGTTTTTTCTTGGGTCAAAGTTGTTTCAATATGTTTAAACATCGGTTCTTTAAACCATTCATCGGTTTTCTTTTTCCCGTTCGGTTTGCAAACCGTCACTCTTGTAAACCTTGTACTCCGTCAAGCTGAGAGAACCTCTTCCCCAAGAAGAATTTTTTCCGACCATGGATTATGGAGATACACTGGAAGAGTCTTTGCATGTTGAACTGAAGGAGAGAGCTCATCTTCTTGAAAAGCAATATATATCTAGATTTAGGACTAAAAATTGACTGTTTCAAAAAAAAAAAAAAAATTAGTCTTGAAAATTCCAGATTGAAATTCACCTCTGCCCCCGAGAGCATTAATACTATTAACAGCATCTGCACTACCATAAACATAAACATAAACACAAATAAATCCTTAAAATTCATAAACACAAATACCCACTAAAAAATACAAAGAAATTTATGATTTTGACAGAGAGTGAATTCATTGATGAACAAGAGAAATTTCATTAAATTACCTTTCAAACAGATTCAATATGCCATCAACAACAGCAAGAACTTGTCCCATACGTTTTATTTCTACAACCACAGTCAAACAAAAACCATGAGTCGCTAAGCAAAACTCATTCAAATGAAAGATTTGTAACAGACATAACACAGAACTAGCCCAAATTGTTACAAGTATGTCTCAGCCATCAGTACAAGTTCATACTAACAACTCTGAACTTGCACACAGAAAGTTACATGTAGATGATGACACCTGTCATGTTTAGCTTAACTATGTTGTTAGATGTTAGTTACAGGTTGTTATTCATAGCTAAGTTTCTATCTTGTATAAAAGTAAACTACTGCAATTATCATTATTCAAGTGAATGAAATCAGAGGAAAATTCCAGATTTACTTTTCTTTCTAATTTTCTGAGCTAACTTTCTCAGCATCCAAACACACAATTCCATATTTCTCATCACAAACCAGACAATGGGTTAGATTTACAAAGACAATACCAAGAATTAAATTTAAAACTAGACCAAGAAATCCAGACATAACACAATACCAAGAAAAAGACGAGAATTAGAAGAAAAAAAATAAAAGGGGTGCATATAGATTTGAAGGAGAGAAAAAGAGAAGTTTCAAGAACGTTGTTAAGAAAATATAAGAGAGAGAGAGAGAGAGAGAGAGAGAGTAATGGAAGGAAAAGAGGAGAAAAAGGAGGAAACAGTAGCAATCTTGCGAAGTAAAACGAGAGTGTGGTTAAGAAAATAATAAGTTAATAACAACTGAAGAGAGAGAAAATAATAATTGAAGAGAGAGAGAGAAAGAGATAGGAATCTTGGGATGAGAAAAAGGAGGAAAGCCATTTTGGTATACTTATAATTTCACTTAGCTGGTATAATGAGTCTTTTATTTATATATATATTTTTAAAATTTTAATTAAGTTTTTGTGTTGATTCGTGCCCACTATTGGAAATGGAGGAGAACTTAGGCACTGATTAATTTGTCAGTGCCTTATTTTCTAATATATATATGACATGAAAGTATTATATATAATTTCTTTAATACTGAAGGCATGCATTTCTGAGTTTTTAAAATTATTAGTCATGGAAAATTATTGAATCAGTCCCTTTTATCATTTTATAGAGACTATTTCTATTATCAGTACCTAATAGCATTCTATAGAGACCTTTTATTTTAGTCTTCAATAAAAGGGTCCCTGTTGAGCGTTTTTCTAGTAGTGCGCCCAGGTGCCACGTGTCAAAATAGTAAATCCGGTCAACTATACTATTTTTTTAAAAAAAGGTTTTTGGTATATTGAGTTTAAACTTCGTACCCTAAGGTCCATTGGGCCTAATTCCATCCAAAAAACTTGGGCCTATGTGATTGAGGTGAGAATGATATCATTGCATGTTTGGAGTTAGTAGTGGGTTGTAAGGGCCGTGACATAACACCAAAACATTATCCATCAAACTTGTACTAATTTGAATTTCCCTCCAACAGAATGGGATGTGCTTTGATTTGTTTTCTTTCTTCTCTCAATATTGTTATTTCTCGTGTTTGGCTAACGTTTGTAATCTTAGATTAGGGAGGTTGGAAAATAATACACAATAATCACCTTTATATTGGTTATAACGTACGTGGCACAATAATCCCCTTGTATATATATATATATATACTCTTTTCCATTATCATACAAATTTGGTTGTACATGTATATGATGGCGAGCCTTACTCATCGGTGTGAGTTTTAATTGGTGCAGCACAATTACAATCGCAGCAATAGCCTGGTGGTGGAGGTGCGCAGCACACACAATCAGGACATATAGGAGTTGTATCTGAAAGAAAACCAAACAAAACACAAAATCAGCATCTAATCCCAAATACCAATTCAGCTGCCTCAGAGGTCACTATAGTAAAATTGGTGGTGGAATTGTTTACCTGGAAAAGTGAATCGAGCTGCCTCAGAGTTCAAAATAGGAGAGAGTACCATGGCAAAGATGAAGAGGGTCACCAGAGCAGACCTCATACACTCACCTGCCATTAATATTAGCTAGAGAAAGAGAAAATAACAAAAACCTGCTTTGCTGAGCTGTGTATATTTATAGGTTTCAATGGTCTGAGAACGCCTTATTTGAATATTGGAGGGTTGATTTTTCTACTACGTTGATTTTGGGTTGCAATTAGACGTTGCTGCAAATATAGAATTTCACCATTTGTGAGGGAAGACTTGAACCTTGACTTTTGTTCAATTTTTAAAAATATCATAATTGACTTGTCAACTCCTTAAAAAGATGAGAGTCTACTTTGACTGCCCTTTCTTTTTCCATTATAAAAGATTTTGTCTTGTGTAATACGTCTCTTTATACAAATCAAGTAAATTAGTAGAGTATTGCTCAATTGGTTGAGTTCTTTCACTATGTAGTTAGAGGTTCGAAACCCCAGGACACCCAATGAATATTTGTGTAAACTTCCATCTCCCAATCCCTTGTACTATAAATAAATAAAAAATTAAAAAAAAAAGACTTATCAAAGTAAAATAAGGGTTTGAAATTATTCAACTCAATATTTTCAAGTGGCATGGACTAGACATTCGTTACTTATTTTGATAATTATTCCCTAATATAGTAGCGCAAAATTTTCTTTTGACGAAATGTTAATGTAGTATGGATGAGTTAATCTTGAGTGAATCTTGCTTATATTGATAATTATTCCCATCATGTGATTTTTTGATTAATGGACTTGCTGAGGAAGTACTTACCGGATAGATACTTCTTCCGGCATTCTGCTGATTTGCTCTTAAATTCTTTTGACTAACTTGTATTTCCAGCTAAGTCTAATGGTGTGGGTAAAGCATGTTACGAACCAATCACAGTTCTTGCCTTAGCCACATCACATAATTTGCAAGGCGTCAAAAGAGGAACAAGTAGGTACTGATAACTGAAAGTATTTTTCATTGGATATGACTTTTATTTAAGTTATAATTATTGGAGTTACTACTACAATGAACTTGTCACGCAGCACATAACAATATATCACAACAAAAGCTAGCACGGAAATATGCAAAGGATTTGGTTCATTGCAACTGTACGGTTAATTATAAACTCGAAAGATATGAGTTATCCATTGGATCTTTATTTTATTTTGAAAATACACCGAAAATATATTGACCACAATGAGAAGAAAATGAAAAGCAAACAAGGAGAACCACCTCCCAATTCAAAAGTAGCATCAAGCAAACTCTCAATTTCAAATAATTGTACCATAAAAATACAAAGTTATACAAATTAATTAGTAAATTGTGTTTACATATAGCATTAACTTATGATATCACGCACCTGCTAATATCATCGCTCACTGTAGTCCTTGGTTCAGGATCAGGAGCCGACTCCATTTTCAAGCATTGCTCTAAATCCTTATAGACAACATCTATGTCTGGCCTTTCGGCTCCGGTTAGAGGCACACAAGCCATGGCAGTTTGTATAGCTTTCCTAACAGAATCCATCTTATACTTTCCCTGTAATTTTGGATCCACGACGCTTTCGATACGCTGGTTATTAACTTCATTACGCACCCATTCAAGTATGTGTATATGTACTTCTGGTCCTCCAGGTTGTACTACTTCAGTGTTAATTGCTGTTCTACCGGTTATTAGCTCTAGCAAGACAATTCCAAAGCTATATACATCACTCTTTTTGTTGAGACGTTTTGTCTTGTGATATCTGGACAAATATAACAAGAAAACATTTCAACAAGGTCGAATCTAATGAAATAAATTGGCTATTGAAAATATATACCAGAAGGTACAAAAACAAAGGCAAAAAACAGGATATATGTATATACTTAATTCTTACTCGGGATCAAGGTATCCAAATGTTCCTTTGGACAAAGTTGATACATGAGTGATACTTTCAGTTGCAAAAGCTCTAGAAATACCAAAATCACCTATCTTGGCTTGCAATCTTTTGTCTAACAAAATGTTGGCTGGCTTTATATCTCTGTGAACTATCGGCATATTGCGGTGAGAATGCAGGTAATTTAGTCCTATAAAATTCAGCAGCCATTACTCACTATTACAAAACTGGTCAAAGAGCAGGAGCTAGCATAAGAGCATACAGTACTCATATCATATGAGCTAGCATAAGAACAAAACTGGCTTTATATCTCAACTCTCTCACACTGTTTTTCCTGAGCCTCACGGTATGTACAGAGACTACTCATATCATATGTATTGTAATTTACTAATCTGCTTACCTCGTGCGGCATCTAGAGCAATACCGAGTCTCTCCTTCCAAGTCAAAACTCTTATAATAATATCTGCACCCAAGAGTTCGTTATGATTGAATCATGCAGTTATACAAGAAAAATTACGGAGGGAAACTTACGGTGTATTTGGATGAGGAAATTTAAAAGTATCTAAGGAATTCATAAAGAATAGAATTTAAAATGATGTAAATTAATGTTCTATAATTTGTAAAAGTTAAATGAGATTAATAATTCGATCTTGAGTTTTGAAAGGAGATGTAGTACCTGATTCGGGGCCATGTGAATGTGCTGTGTGAAACAATGTGGCGCCGGTGTGAGGCGGCTGTGCAAGTGATGCAGAGGGTGAAGGTGAGAGCTCTGCATTTGAGGTGTACACTGAAATTAGGTTTACTCTTTTCATTTGTTAATAACACTTGTCCAACAATTTGCTTGGGCAGCGTAATACTAATGGAAAAAAGGGGGAGTGGCGGGGGGAGAAAATTCTCATCATAAATGCTATTTATGAATATATGGCAATGGTATACCTGAGTCAGAGCGATGGGACCGTACAAGCAATGGAGTGTTGGGAAAATGGCTCACCTAAGGATACAAGGTTGGTTTTGGCGCTGAAAGGAAGATTTTGAATCTGCCTAAAAGCGACCGGTCGCTAGGCATTTGCGACCGGTCGTTTTGAAGCAGATTCGAAGTCTGGAGCAACATCAACGAGCGACCGGTCGCCAGTTCTTTGCGACCGGTCGCAGGAAGCTAGCGACCGGTCGCTTAACATTTGCGACCGGTCGTTTAGAAGCAGATTCAAAGTCTGGAGGGAAAACTTCTGGCGACCGGTCGCCCATTCCTGACGACCGGTCGCTCCAGTCGTGCTGTGATG